ACATGTGTCAAAATTTCCCACTCCCACAACTCGATCAAAAATCAACCTATATTTATAAGGTTTGGCTTTTTGTTTATGGTTTGGCCTGGAAATCAATTTGGCATCTAAATCTGGCAGCATTTTTTTGGGTCAAATTTCATGTAAAAATGGTACTCTCAAATATCCTATATAGACATGGGTCAAAATATTCCACCTTCAGAACTCGGTCAAATCTCATCCGGTTTTCACGAGGTTTGGGTCTTTGTTCATGGCTTGGCCTCTTGATCAATTTGGTATCTAATCTGGCACCATTATTATTGCTTTTGGGATTTGTCCGATTTGCTTCAAACTTATTTTCAAGGCTCTACATAAGAACTTAAAGAATATACATATTATAAGTTAACTATGTTTAGGGATTGCTGGTGTATGTACGTGACTGGACCGGATTGATTTCCAATAAACACATAACGTAAACATAATATATCATAAAACTACAGTGACAGCTCGATAATAAGAACTTCTCGTAGAGTGTTGCAGAAATGTTTAAGAAGCATTTTGAAAGGATTAAAAACTACATTTTTTGATTTATAAGAACATTTGTTTTGAAGTTATTTTCCATATTCAAAAAAGTTTTAAAGCTAATGCAATTTATCTCACTTTTTTTGTATTCGTTAAAATTAAAGATTTGGACTTTAAATATTTTTTGCATATTATTATCATATCTAAAATCGAAATTTTAGTAACTTGCGAGCGAGCAGTTTGGTAAGATACTTCACATACAGCAATTAGGAGAGACAAAAGAATATGGCTGATCAAAATTTATATTCTGCATGCGTCCATAAAATATTGTTTTATAGATCTTAACTTTTATGGTAGCTACAGTAAGAGGTAAGGTAGCACATAGTGTTTAGAAAACGTTTTTTATTACTATTCATTATTCAGACTTATAACTCTAGAGTTACACTTGAATGTAAATAATATATGTATGTATATACTGCATATATATACCCTATGTAATATATATATATATATATATATATATGTATTATGTATAATAAAAATTACATTTAAAACACACAGCGACTGCGAGAAATGTGCGTGCTACAAGTTGGTTGTGTTTGGGAATTTCAAACAATTCAATTTCAATAAAAGTCTATAAGCTATACATATAATTAATATTAACAAAATTTAAAAGAAAAATTTCAAAAAATACAAAATATAGTTACAAATCGGCAAAGTCGCATAAAGTTGAGCTTTATATCAGTTTCTGGAATGTGGCAGCAATAAACTTAATTAATAAACATAGGCATATAATAAATATACGTATATAGAGAGAGATACATATAATTACATGGAGTTATAGTAGGCATATGTACTACAATATTACAAATTAGCTTGCTGATATTCATAAAAATGTCCTGGCAAGGCTTTTATTGCAAACGAACAGGCGCCAATTGGCATTTATCATAAATATATATATAGCATATATATATATATTGCACACGACTCGCTCTCCCTCTTTTGCAGCGCAACGGCATCGCTCGCGCCTTCACTCGCCATCTCGCTCAAACTGCGTCAAACTCGTCGCTCTCACTCATTCCCATGCGTTGTGCACAACAAAAATATACGTACACACACTTGTTTAATAGCTGGGTAACTCAGGGGCAGTCGGTTAGGCTAATTGTTAATTATATATGTCTGCCGCTGGGCCTATATTACATATAATATTCGAATATGTTTATCCTTTAAGCAAGCACCAATCTATGCTCTGTTGTTCATGTAAAAAAGCAAATAGCTTTGCTTTTTTTATCAATATCTTGAGGCTATTTTTTAAGTGTTGCAAATTTGGAGTCATGCCAATCTCTGGACTGCTTATCACAGCTCGAATGTTGCATTTTAGAAATTGATATAAATGGTTAATATCTGTTTTGCTCAATATCATGTGAAATCACAAATAAGTAATGCCTAAGTAAACCGATTGCCCAGGCCCATAAGATATATGCATATATATATGTATATATATATCAATATAAATATAGAAGTATATATATATTCATATATATAGATGTGCGTGTGTGTGTGTGTGTGTACGTTATAAAACCAACAACAATTCCATTTGTTTTCATTTTCACTAAATTCCCTTTGTCTAAAACGGTGCCAACGGTGACCCGGTTGAATACCCCCTCGAGCCCTCCCTCTTTACCCTTGCCTGTCATGATGCACGTCCCATTGAAACCCTTGTTAGATATTGCTTTAACGCCTGGCTGCCGCCTTAGGTGTCCCGGCGCTCCTACCAGTGCGGACGTATCTCCTTGAAGAGCCACTTCTGGTAGCCATCGTTGACATCGCACTGTCCCAGCGAGAGCTGCTGCGTCGTTGGATGCAGTGCCATGCACTTTTTGTGGACGCGATGCAGCAAATGTTTGGTGTGCTCGTTATAGCTCCAGGGTCCATCGACGGTGCCCAAGCGACAGACGGCCAATTTAATGCCCTGACGGTCCGCTTCCACGCAGCGTTCGCCAACGCCCAGCTGCCCGACGGCGTTCAGTCGCACCAGCTGATTATTGCCACCGCCATGGCAATAGGAGAGACCCATTATGGCCGGCGGCTGATGGCCCATGGAATCCAGACAGCCATCAGAGGCAACCGAACGCAGTTCGCCCCAATGCAAATTGGCCGGCAGGGCTGGGAACTTGTCAACCACATCGTAGGCAATGTTGTCCATAAACCATTGGAATGATTTGCAGTTGAGACGCTTCTTCAATGCCAGCTGATCGGTAATGTCGCCCATGTCCAGATAGCGTGCCAGCGGTTCGCGCGTGTAGAAGAACTCCTTGTGCGTATCATCGAACCAAGTCTCAATGACGCGCTTATAGTTGATGGTAATCAGCGGACCCTTCTTCTTGCTGGCCAGCTTGCCAAAGTTATACGGCATAAAGCCGCGATAGACGTGGCCCACGCGAGAGCAGGGCACCCATTCAATGCTGCCGCCGCATTGCCAGATCTTGAAGCTCAGCTCAAAGTTTTCGCCGCCCCACACCAGCAGGCCAGGATCGTAGGCGCCCAGCTCCAAAAAGTATTCGCGATTAATGGCAAACAGACCACCCGCATGCGTTGGACTGCGATAGGGCTCCGAGTTGTGGGCACGACGACGCTGCTCCCGACGCGGCACCTCGTTCTCCTTGTACAGCATGCCCCACTCGAAGATGCCACGGAAATGGGTGTCGCTGCCATACACCGGACGATACTCAAAGCTCTTGTGATCGATGCCATCAATGATAGGCACCGTCATCACCGTCCGATCCCGATAAATGGGCGCCAACAGCGGTGGCAGCCAGTTGAGATTTACCTCGCAATGCGCATCCAGAAAAACAATCACCTCACCTGCAACAGAGTTCAAATGTAATCAATGCTGTTTCAGAGCGTTAAAAAGAAAACAACATGAAAAAAAACTAAAAGTCTACAGAGCTAGTTACCATGAAAACCTACACCTTAGGTATAAACAAAGCTCTCATCTTGAACAACTTAAAAAAAGCTAGAGTTCTCTTTATAAAATCTGTTACTTGTTTCTAAAGACTGTACCATTCAATCAATACGATACAATTTATTTGTATACTCTGTCAAATGCAAAAAAAAACTTTTTTGAAGTTGTCCAAACAAACTTAGGTGGGAGACATATTCGACTTTTAAAGATAATTAATATTCCAGAGCAGCACAACGAGGTAAATTACGTACACACATATACATACACATACATATAAACACACACACATATACATACATACATACACAAACATACATACACATACATACACATACACATACACATACACATACACATACATACTTACATACCTACATACATACCCACATACACACCTACATACACACCTACATACATACCTACATACCTACATACATACCTACATGCATACCTCCAAACATATATACCTACATACTTACATTCTTACATCCATACAAACAATAAAAGTAGGAAAACCTGCCGGGCTTACTTGAATTCATGAGAATCGAGGAGTAAGGCATCACTTAAAAGAACGTTGCATTCAAATTCTAAGCGCAGCGGGAACTTAATTTTTTCAACATTTGCTTCAAACGTGCGTGCATACATATATACATACACACACATACATGCACACATGCATACATACATACATACACACATACATACATGCACACATGCATACATACATACGTACATACACAAAAGTGGGCACATAACCTTTATGTATTACAAAAGCTTTGATAATAATAATAAAAAAAAAAAAGATTTTGGGCAAATCCCTTGACTGGCTCTGGGGCTAGCTCACCTGTGGCCTCCATGGCGCCGCGCGAGCGTGTGCGTATGAGACCCTCGCGCTCGGTGTTGCGTATAATCCTGACGAGGCCCTTGAATTGCAGGACATAGTCATCCAGTTTAGTGCGCAGATTGTCCTTGTCCGAGAAATCGTCCACCAATATGATCTCGTGCAGCATGTGCTTGGGCGAGCGATCGATGACCGAGTGCACGGTGCGCATGAGCACCGAGAAGCCCTCGTTGTGGAACACAATGATGACACTGGTCGGCGGCAGATCGTATGGATAGTCCCAATGTTTGCACTCCTCAAGCCGTGTATCCCGCACCGAACGATGCATCGATATCTCATCGGAGCAGGCAATATTCATGCCATACTCCATTTCAGAGGCATCGGCCACGTTCTTCTTGTCCGCCGACAGCGTGTGCCCGTCTCCATTCTCGCCGGGTCCGTTACGTGGCTTCAGATCTTTCGGCTCAAAGTTGCCCAGACCTGCAAATGCAAACAATTCACCTGTAAATAACGATCGACACCTGCGCACACACACACAATGCACCGGCCGGCAAACAAACAAATGCAAATACAGCAAATAACAAAAACAATAACTTAAGTTATGTACTAATCAGGTGCAAACCCATTATAATTATGCCACACATGTTCTGGCGATGCAGTCGCCACGGACCAGTTGTGTAGAAAATTATATACATGTACATATATATATATTTGTGGCTATAACTGATATGAAAAATAATTAGCTGCTACCATATGATATCATCACAGGCTACTGCGAGTATAATTACGTTTTACATATGGTTATTCATATTGGATATAAAGATTTGAATTTTCTTCTAATTAGTTTCTTCTAATAGGTGCGTATAAGTATCAGACATACCCAAGACATGGAAACACTATTTCATTTCATAAAAACAATTGCATTGGATCAGATTGGCTCCGATTGGTACTCCAAAGCGGACATCTGCCTATGACAGTCGTTCGTTAATAGAGTTTTTACTGCATCTAAGGCCTGGCAAGGGTACAAACGTCCTGGCTCCCATAAAAATATAAGTATATAATTTGAGCAGTATGAAGAGCCAAGTCGATATAGCCGTGTTCTGGATTCCCTCCGTCGATTTCTATGCAAACTAGACTCTCAGTTCCAAAGCTATTTTCCGTATTTCTATTTGCTGTCAATACGTACTAAGTCGGAGCCGGCACTATATCGTAAAGATGTCCTATGAAAGGTATTTTATGAGAAGCTGGATAATAATCTTGATCAAGTAATCTTGACCAAACCTGGCATTTACAAGTTTTACAAAGTCGGCCCACTATACCATATAGTTGCATAGGAAGCATATCCGGCCAATGCCCAGGTATGTGCGTTTGTACTTACCCTCAACTAGCTTGGGCACCTCACGTGGCCTATTCTCGAGGCGCTGATGACTGAACTTGGGTCCGCCGAAGCGCGTATGATACGCCTCCTGGACACGCTTGTGGTGATCACTCCAGTTGGCCAGCAGATAGAGCAGCGGCAAGATGACCAGCAGGCAGAGAACCAAGCGGCAAATGCGGCCGCTGCGTATGTTGCTCACACGCATCTTGCCAGAATTGTGATTTAATTAAATACAGTTACGTTACGTTAGCTGGATACAGATTTCCAATTCTGTTTTTTGTTGACGTGTCGACGTCTTTGTCGACGTTGGCGTCGCCGTTGGCTTTGTCGTTGGCGTCTCAGCAGCGGCTACGCGACAGCAATGTAAAGCAAATGGCTGCAAATGCCGCACAACAATTAGCCAAGTTAGCAGCAGGCAGAGGCTGTTTAAGAATTTTTAATTTTGGATGCGATGTAGATGTCAATGCACGAGTGTGTGTTTGTGTGTGTGTGCGTGTGTGTGTGAGATAGAATCTGAAAGTAAGTGACTGTCAGAGTGTTTGTGTGTGCGTGTAAACGAGAACCAGGTGAGCCGCCGCTGCGAAAGCGTTGATCAAAAGGCAATCAACGTTAATGATAAATGAGCGTAGCGGCTTAACACTTTTAAATGCCCGTGCAAAGCAATTACAGTTCAATGCAAATTGGTTTTTACTGCTGCTGCTGCTCACACTGACGCACCACAAGACGCAAGGCGCGCGCAACGTTGTCGAATGCAATGCACAAATAACTGCGGTGTAAACGTAAACAAAAAAAAATTCGCAGCAGTATGTGGAATTGCCACGCGTTTGACGTTTTCTAGCACATCAGGTGGCACCTTCGGCACTTTAACGCCAACTGGCGGCAATGATGCGCAATAAATGCCGGCTGATATCGATAAGCGATGGGCAAAATATACATTCGAAAAAATACCATGCGCATGTTTAATTTGCGTCTACTTGCTGAGTTTTGCGTTACGTACTCCTCATTGCGTCTGTGAGAATACGTTACGCAAGCTTCGCATGTTTAAATGTCTATTTTCAAAAAAAAACAAGCGCAATTGATATTTGTAATATTGCTTTCTCGAAACTTTTGCAATATTCGAGCTGTTACATTTATTTACATCATTTTTTACATTACAAAATTTTACAATTTACAAATATATGTACATATGTACAGATGCGTAATAATTATAATTACAGTTACAATGAATATATATCTCTATATATATATATATATATATATATATATATACATATGTATGTATGTGTGTGTTTATGTGTATATATACATATATATATATATATACATCATATATAGATATACATATAAATATAATGAGAGTTCAAATGATAAAATGGAAAATTCGCCAATCAAGCGTTGTGCTTAGCTAATTTGATGCCGATACGGCAGCCAAAGTTGTAACTATTTAATGCTGCATCTTGTTTCTATTTTGTAAAGTCAAAACGCTGCCAACGCGTCGACGATCAAAGAACGGTTCCGGTTCATGCAGCGCCCCGATTGCCGTAACTGCAGCGAATCCTCCGTCACCGGGATTATCGCTCAATGTGTGTCCAGCATTGCGTAGATATTCTATAACCTCGCTATTTACATCCGCCTCGTAGTCGATGCGCATAGGTATCAGCTGATGATGCAGGCGACCATCGTTAACGGCATGCGTCATGGACTCACGGCGTATGAGATACTTCATTATAACCTAAGAGAGAAAAGAAAGAATTATCGATTAATACAGCATGGATTAATAACGCGCTGCATTAAGTTGGCTGCGCTAAGGTCTTTGCATGAGACCATTAAGTTGGCTGCGCTAAAGCCTTTGCATGAGCCCATTAAGTTGGCTGCGCCTGGCCATATTAAGCAATGAAGCTGTCAACTCGGAACACAATAGATAGCTTTGATATGTTCCATTTAGCTATGCCCAAACGTACCGTTGCCACGCTGGTTGTTATTTTGGTGCCGCCAGCAGCTCCAACCAGCATGCGCACATCGCCATTGGCATCGACAATAATGGAGGGATTCATGGAGGACATGGGCCGCTTGTGTGGGTAAATGTAATTGGCTGGCGAGGAGGGTACGCCAAAACTGTTAATAACGCCCGGCGTCGAGAAGTCATCCATCTCGTCATTCAATATGATGCCCGTTTGCGGCGATGCTACCTTTGCCCCAAAGCTGCAATAGAGAATATATTTACCTCAATATATCGCTAAATTGTGTAAAATGATAATGATACTCACTATGTATTAATGGTGCTGGTAATGGATATGGCATCGCCATTGCTCGCCAGCACATTCATGTGAGCGGTGCCGTGGTCGGGCTCCACGGTGAAGTTCGCGCCATAGTACACGTAATCCTGCGAGGTTTTCTCATCGTTTATCAGGGCTCGCACGGTGTCAACCAGCTCGGTGCCAAGTAGTTTTTCCAGCTGATCCTTTATGCTCTGACCGTATTCCGGATCATTTTCATAGTCACCCAAATTCGTGCGCTGGCCATACGCATGCTTAAAGCTCTCAATGACACGCTGCCAGTAAATGCCCTCATTATCCGAATAAAGTTCACTCATCACGTTCAATATAAAGGCCAGAACCGGACCGCTCGACGGCAATGGTGTCGTATACAACGTAAATCCCCCGGTCACATTTGCCGATATGTGACCATCGCTCTCCCAGCGCACTCTGGAAATAAACGAATCGCAGGATAAGAGAGATTGTTTTCAAATTATAACCGTCTCTCATGTAATCGCGGTCTGACATCGATAATCGATTATCGATAATTTGTTTAGCAAGTTAACTTTTAGCAACACTGTTCAACACTGTTAACCGTCTCTTACTTGAAATTTTTAAGATCATCCAGTGTTATAATGCCACCCAATTTGGTTATGTCCTCGACAAACTTGACGCCCGTCTCGCCGCCATCGTAAATTTCGCCGGCGCCATTGTTAGCGATCCGCTCCAGGGTATTGGCCAAAGTGGGTCGCTTCATATAATCGTGCTCGACGTATGGCTCACCCTTATCGTTGAGGAACATTTTGGATAACGCTGGATCACTCTTGATCTCCGTTAGCTTGGAGCTGATGGCAGCGGCCAGATAGCGGGACACAACATGACCCTCGCGGGCCATCTTAATGGATGGCTGGAATAGAGCCTTCCATGGCAGGCGTCCATATTTCTGATGCATTTCCCAATAGCCAAGTATTTCGCCGGGCACAGCGCCCGCCAGTGCGCCCGTCACCTCCTTTTGGCCCACAAACATCTCCTTGTGTGCAGCAGCTGGCGCCGATTCGCGTGCCATTACCGTTTCCACTTTGCGTGTGCGACGCGTGTAAATGGTTGCCACAAATCCGCCGCCGATGCCCATCGAATGCGGCAACATGATGCCCTCGCAGAGGAGCGTCGCAATTGCTGCATCCACCGCGGAGCCGCCCTCCTGGAGCATCGAGCCGCCAACCTCGGCACAGCCGATGCCATTGGAGACAACGGCTCCAGTAATATAGCGCGTATCCCTCGATCTCAGTCCGAAGACAAGGCCAAGCGTCAGACCGGTGACCATCAGAGCGACGATTGCCAGCCATACAAGGCTTCTCTTATTCAACAATAGCCTGAAATACAAACAACACACACACACACACACACACGCACACACAAATTAGAGGCGGTTAAATAAAAAACAAATGGGCAATTAATCGGGCGCCAAACCCCTATTCAAGTGGCCTCCCAAGTGCTAGACCCGGGATTTCATCAAGTGGCCAGTTCAACAATTCTGATTAGACCATAGACTATAAGACTATATATATTTATATATACACATACATACATATATATATATATATATATACATATACATATGTTATTCGAGTTTCTTCTGCAATAATCGCTAAATAACACACTCACTGTTAAATACCCTTTTTCACAATTTTGATTTTCTTCTGTTAAGTAAATACATATAATCGAAACGTAGCGACAACTGTTTTGGCTCCAGGCTTACTAAGTGAAAATACTGAGAATTTTGAGAGTCTGGATTAACACTAATTTTGTGTATACATAGGTATACGTATGGGTATTGTATGGCCTGTTTCGATTTAGAAATTTGATTGTGAGTCCGAGTCGAATGATCGTGCACGTAGGCCACAATGACGAGCCGTTCCATTCCATGGTTTCGCGCACAGCGTGCAACTGTACAATCGTGAGGATGTTTCATTCCGTCATTTCCTTTCACATTTTTTTTTAGCAAATAGGAAACACAATTAATCGATATTAAATTGAATCGATTATTGCGAATTTCTTGGCATTAAGCTTCTATGAAACTAGAAAATTCGAAGTACAGCCAGGTTCTATAATCTTTATTGCATATAAAAGCTAAACTTAAACTGAAACTAATTAAGTAATTATCAAAAAATTTTTTCATTATTAACGTGAGTGCTTGGGGTCGTTCATTTATGTCTTAATTAGACTTATTTATTAGCATTCGATAAGAAAAAACTCGAACCAGAAACGCTTCAATCTATTTTAGAACATATTGAAATTGTAAAATCATGGCTTTACAATTGATAAAAGAATCTTATAATTATATTATTATTTTTTTTTTTCAATTAGGTATGACATTTTTATGTCTACTCCCGTGACGCTTCTCAAGTGCCATGACATTTCAAACTGTTCTGCCCTGTCTGGCAATTCCGCTGGTCATTTGTTGAAGTCCCCGCGCATCTGTGGCGCAAGTCCAGCCCGCAAATAATGCACGTCGCACAGGTAGGGCGCTTATCAGTGTATGCTTGTTAGTATATTTAGTTATTTTGTTGTTGTTTTCCCTTTTTTTTTTGGTTTAAGATATTGCCCGTCGTAAAGATACGTTATGTGGCAGTTAAACTCGACAGTGCTATTAACAAGCAATTTTCTATAATTAACGGCGATTTTTTGTACCCTACAATCATAAAATGTTTGATGGGGCTATCGATATGTCGAGCACATGCGGGAAGAAGACGCCAGATAAGCTCCCTTTGACCTTTTTATCTAAGATCGATATATATCGAATTACAGTCATGGCTTTTTAACTATTCTCATAAAGCCAACGAAGACAATATATCGATAACTATATCCTCAGGCTATAGAAGAAATTGGAATAGAGCTTAAGGTCTCCAGTATATGGAATTGGTCTCAAAAAAATGAGAGATTACAAGGGCTAAAGACGCCAAATAGGCTCTCATTTACCATGGGCAGATGAAT